TATGGAGTGTGGACTGGTAGCTGGAGAGGTGCCAGTTTCACCTCCTGTGCACTGCTGAGGTGCCCTTGAGCAAGGCAACCTAACCCCAAGAAACTGCTCATGTGCTAACGTGGCAGCCCATCACTCCACCATCTCTCTCATCTCTCCTGACTGGCTTTGACTACGTAATTGCTTGTTGATCAGAATGGTTGTAGATACTGATACTGATTCTTAGAACTTATTATGATCAGGCTCCTGCTTACAGGAGTCTGAAGTCCCTTCAAGTCTAAACGCTGCTGCATGAGATCTGGGCCCCTCATCTGTAGAAATCCTAAATTACAGTATTTGTATTATTTTATTCTTATATTAATATATATGCTACACAGAGTTACAGTAGGTCCACATAGGATGTATGAGCAGTGTGTGACGGCTGCCTTGCTGAACTGCTGCACCTTGCACGCCTGAGGTGACCACACAGATACAATAACAGTACAATACAATGAAAGTTCTGTTAACATATGAATGGATTCTGTCTACAGAAATGCGAGAGAGCATTTATTCTCAAACAGATACAGGTACTGGTGTATGTTGTTGGTATAATGTCAAAATGACTGAACTTTTCATTGTCTGTATTTGCAACAGCTTGCGGAAAAAATAGGCGAGAACTCGACACTGTAGTGAAGCATTGCTGCAGCTGCGACACACAGTTCATGCAGGCAGTGTGGCTGATGTAATATGTTAACATGGACGTCCAAATAAAAAGCAAGACGTTTCGCCACGCACACGCCCTGCAAACAAAGGCAGTGTGGACTGGGCCTTAGTCTTCCCGATGTTGGAGCCTGGTTGCAGGGATTTGCTGCCATTCAGCCAAAAGAGCATTAGTGAGGTCCAACACTGAACACTTGAGTGATAGGGTTTGGCTCGCAGTTGGCGTTCCAGTTCATCCTAAAGGTGTTGGATTGGGTGGAGGTCAGGGCTCTGTCTAGGCCCGTCAAATTCTTTCACACCAAACTGGGAAAACAATTTCTTTATGTAGCTGGTTTTGTGCCACGTGGGCATTGTCATGTTGAAACAGGAAAAGGAAAAACACAGACTGCTGCCACACAGTTGGAAGCACACTGTTGTCTAAAATGTCATTATATGCTCTAGCACTATGAGTTCCCTTCACTGGAGCTAAGGGTTGCAGACCAAGCTAGTATACAGTATCTGCTATTTCTGTTCTTTTCTGTTCTTTTCTGTTCTATTCACATGCTGTTGGTCCATTAAGAAAAAAGAACTGAGAGACAAGGGTAACAGTGGAGGAAGTGGAAAGGAGAGGCCAGACAGCTGGACAGCAGACCTGCACCAGGCTTCTCTAATGGAGGATTAGGGGAGACTATACAGACACGCATGTCCAATCCCATTAGATAATTAAAGCACTTTCCTTAGTCAGGGCCTGTGTGTTGAACTGTGAATGTGTGTTGGTGTCCTTGCCAGTGTGACAGCACTTACTGCTCTTTTCCTCCTTTATTACTAGTTACACAGAACAGTTTTGCTCCAGTTCACTCTAGCTATTATTGCTGTATTATAGTCAAATAATAAATAATTTGCTTTGGAGTGCAGCTACCACCTTGAGCCTTCAGTTTATTTTATAACAGAATTGTTTCAAACAATAACACCAAAAGGCTAGGCTTCTCTGCTTATACCACTATCTTAACTTCTTTCCTCATCCATATCTCTGTAGTTCATTCAGATGTTGGCATCAGTCTTGAGTAATAACCTCTTCCACTCCACCCCTCCCAACAGTAATCCCATTTTCTTTGGGTTGGGGAGGGGTGGGTATGGTATATAAGGGCTTAGAGCATTATGATAAAGTATATGATAGCCATTTCTATGCTCAATTATGTGTCATAAGTCAAAAAGTGATTTTAAAAAAAGTCATAAAATCCCCCAAAATACCACAGGACACCAGGACCTTGAGGAACACCAATTGCATTTTTTTTTCAATTGGATGGTGAGCACTTCTGTTCTGGAAATTGCCCAGAAAGCCCCTTATTGTCAATATACCTAAGCTTGTCACATATCCTCTGGATGCTCTTGATCTGTAGTTTCTGCTTGTACAGTTTCATGAGGCTATGATTATCCTAGCGTTCACAATAGGTCATTTTATACAATGAAATGGTCTCACTACAATAAAATGGCTATATTGGGCACTGACAACTCCACAAGAGTAGCAGCTTTCCGGTCATACCCAATTTATGCAATTCTAATACTGTTTATGGACCCCAGTATACAGAAATACTCAAGTAAACTAGAGAAAACAGTTGTACTGAAAACTGCATTGGTTTTGCCAAAAACTCCATGACATTAGCGTAAAGGATGTGAAGGGGAGACTCATGGGTACCCACTAAAATAATTTTAATTCAGATAGCTTAGGGTCAGAGGTCAAGGGACTCCTTTGAGAATAGCCATGCCAGTTTTTCCATCGCCAAAATGTATCCTAACTTTGGAGTGTTATTTAGCCTCCTTCCCAACACCCATTACATAGTTACTGCTACAACCACGCTACAACTGCTACAAATTCTGAAAGACAGTAGGACTTTGGCATCCGCACAGGATGGAGGAAATTAGGCCACGCTCAAGTCTCTTGTCAATATGTGAATATGAGGATTCTCAAGCAGTACTAACAGGTGTGCTTTCCAACAGATGGGTAAACAGCCTCATCACATCGGAACATACAAGAACAGGAACAAACAGGTTTAGTTTACATTTTCAAAAGGTTAAAGGTGTGAAACGAAAAAGTGAATGTTCAGAGCCATCATCAGGACAACTTGCAGTGTAATTTTAGAAACTTAAATAGGCAATCAGACAATTAGCAATGGCTGATCAGGAAAAAGGTGGTAAGAGTCAGAAGGTGTTTCAAAAACATCCACCAATCAGTGTGTTTCTCTTCTTTTTACTTGATGACAGGATGGTCAGCCTGATATCCTCTACACCTTCTGGAATGACGTAACCAACACACTTAGTGAAGAGTTTCACAGAGCAACTGAAGGTGAGCCGGATCCTTTTCCTTCCCCTTAGTCTCCACAACAACTGCCAGTTTAAATATGAAAGCTGCTCATTCAGGGCAAAGATGAATTACTCAAAGAGCGTAAATCTAAAGCTAGCTGCTTCACCACCAGCAGCACTACCGACTAGTGGGAGGCTTCATTTAGTGAGCCATAATCATCGGGCTGTAACAAGAACACAGTTAACAGCAGGGAATCAATGGGGCTGCAAGTAATAAACAGCCTGTTGTTCATGGAGCACTGAATCAGTGTGTGCCGGTGGTACAACCTTGCTTTGTATTAAGTCACTGCTTGCAATTGCATCAACATGCCATGATCATTGGAACACTAAATTTAATTATTTTGTTTTTGTTTTCTAGTGTGGCTTTGTTTGTTTTCTGTATTGTCGGATGTGGGGTGTACGTGTGCAAAACGTGAAAAATCAATAAAAAGTAAAGTGAGACAAAAAAAAGAATCCTGTTCAGCTGTTACAGACTAGAAACTAGACATCAGAGATGCACCATGACATCAGAACAACAGAACTACTAATTTAGTCTTATTTAACAAAAATAATACACTTTTAAATACATATAGGAAACCTCTCAAGTTTAAATAGCCAATATTGACCACAAATAACTGAAGCCCTGGAGCTAACTAAGTCTGATTAATAATGATCTAAAATAGATTGAACTGAAGAGTATTTATGTCTTCCTACTCACAAAATGAAAGTATCTGCTGAGACTGCCTGTGTGAATCTAAGGGGAGCTCATAGAGGCTCTTGTACTGCCTTGGAGAGATACAGTTGTTAAGAGATATTGGTGATTTTGCATCCACGCATTCCAACATCTTTCTCCTTTCTGCTATGAAGTCCAGCATGCAAACAAACATATAGTGTGTTCATTTCAAGGTTTTGTCAGTGATTGCAGCACACAAGCGTCAATAAGAGGAATTGATCCTTTCAAGTGTTTCTCAGGAATTGAACAATTTGGACCTGGTTGTAAATGGGAGCTGATTGTGATTTCACCTCCCTAATCATCTCTCTCTTGTTCCTCTCATCACCAGAGTCTTTCTGTAGTCAGTTGTCACATAAAGCAATAAATGAAATGAAAGGACTCACAAGAAAAAACAAAAAGCTTAATTATTCTAACAATAACATCTCACACACACACATACACATGGAGATCACATGGAGGCGTTTCAGTAGAGAGTTGTCTGATTACAGGGAATAACAAAGTGACAACAGGAGAGGCAGATTTGGCTCCTCTCTAACATACTTGGCTTCACACTCGCACTTTACTGAAAAACCTGCAGTTTCCCTTTGTGTGTGTGTGTGTGTGTGTGTGTGTGTGTGAAGATATTCTGGAACAAAAATAAATAAGGAAGGGTGAGGTGCTTGTTAATATGAGTAATATGGAGGCACGTTTGTATAAGCCTCAGTTTCTTTTTTCTTGTTGTTCTCCCTCTTTTCATTCTTTGTTATGGTTGATTAAATGATGAGGCTGATGATATTAGAACAACACTAAATGTATCTGCTAACTGTGTATCAAAGCCTGATATATCTTCTTCTTCTGTGCCATAGAGCTCCATTGTTAGAAACACATAAATAAGCCACACTGTTGACTGCACTGGTTGACATGTTCCTTCATTACAATGAACACACACACTGTAGTTTATTTTGTCTCAGTCGCACACACCTGTGGCTACAAATACAAACTAGATTAATCCGCTGCTAAAAATAGTCTGCTACAAATGCACTATTTCACCCTGTTTTAGTAATGTTTTTCTTAAGGGTTTTAAGATTTATTGAGCCTTTTTAAAATAATTAAAGTATGTATTCATGAGCCATTTTTATATGATTTACATCGCGAATAGGCAATGGGTGCTCCACCAGTTTAGCATTGTACTCCTGTTACACTGGAGGATCATAAAATGATCAAAATTGATACAGCAGAAACTTGGCTTCTACATTGCCCACAATGCAACTCTATCATGGTCAGAGATTCAGCAGGTGTGTCGTGGCTAGCCACGAGCTAGTGTAGTTTTTGGCCCCAACCGATGCTGACTCAAGTGACATCACTTGAGGACTTCTCACAGCTCCCTCAGGAGACACTAAGGGTTTTATACAGTTTTCTTTACATATGCAGTAGTACTCCTCAACCAAGTGTAAACCCACTGTGATGCCGCTCATTGGTTTGTGGACAACCATTTTGAAGCCTCAAGTTTGGCAATATAGCTGTCGCCATATCTGGACGAGAGCATGGAGCTGGTGGGTGATACTACTACTGGTGGGTACTGCAAGTTAGTTGTCACTCCGTTTTTAAGCAGGCTAAAATGACGGCTCACCTGGTAACACACGTCTTATATCAGTACACTAAATATGAAAATATTTCACAAGGGAAGGGAGATATGGTCAACACAAGCTGGACTGGACCAGAAACACTGAGGCTGTCTACAAAAAGGGCCAAAGCCGACTCTTTTTCCTAAGGAGGCTGAGGTCCTTTAACATCTGCCGGACGATGCTATAGATGGTTTTATGAGTCTGTTCGTGGTCGCTGTCACATGCTGGTGCAGGTGGGCTGAGTCGCAGACACCCAACAGACTAAAACAAACTTTAATCAGGAGGGCCCGGTCGATGTAGTGGGGAGGAGCTGACACTCTGACGACCGCTGGCATTTTGAAGAAGGAGGATGCTGGTCCAGGTTTCAGTCCATATTGGACAATGTTCTTCACACCTCTCTACGACACATTGGCCCAGCAGAGGGCACTTCAGCCAGAAGGATCCTCTCACCCCAGATGCACCACGAGCCGCCACAGGAAATTCATTTTCCTGCCTGTGGTCATTAAACTGTATAACGCCTCATCAGAGAGTCACACACCCCCTCTCTGTAATCTGACCTCAACACGGACACCATTTCTGCACTTTTTTTTTTGCACACTTCAAAACTGTTACATTTTACCTTTCGATATAGATATGTTTACTAATATATATATTTAATATATAGATATGTTCTTAATATATTATATGTTTCGTATGTATATATGTTGTTGTAGATACTGGAGTTGTTTCGAAAGTAATTCCTCCTGGGATATTAAAGTATTTCTATTCTGATTCTGACAATAACAGATCTTGATCCATATTTGATACGCCACTGCCTAGTTTGACAGTTTGTCAGAGTTTTGGAAGCGTTGAGCTGCGATGGACTCACTGAGAATACCTGCTCAATCACAAGGGTAGCCAGCCTAAAGCACTCATGCTTTGATGTCGTTTTACTTCAAGGACCATCATTTACTAAATGTTTAATGTATCGGTGGAATTCCACAGTAAAAAGGCTAACACATTGCTGGTTTTGGTCTTATCATGGTATTTGTTGTTTGTAAGAAAGACAGAATAGCCTCTGTCCTAATTTTATACATGAGAATACACAATGAGAATGACATTTTTCCTGAAAGAAGGAGGAATTACTTCTAGCTGGCTTTTTTCTGTAGCCCACGGATGTAAGGGAGGTGTTTTTATGTATAATGACCACTTGCCGAGTGACTATGAAGGTTTGCTTCCTGCTCTCTGACTCGTCATCGCCTTGTATCAAAGCTCCACTTGTTACCTTTTTCCTCTTTCTAGCTCCTCCATCTTGCCATGCTGCTGGATGTGGATATAATGATATCAGTATTCCCTTTATGTCTGTCTGTCTGTCAGTCTTTTTCATGCCAACCTCCTTTAGCTTCACTTGCCTTTATTCTTCTAGTCTTTATTATATCCCCACCTATTATAGGATAGGTTACATGTCATTGAATGGGGATATTCCCATGTAGGTTAGAAAGTTATTATATACAATAAGAAGCGTGTGGTATAACCAAAAAAGCTAAAGCAAACGTCTTCCCTTTTGTCTTTCTCACCTTTCTCTATCTCCATCACTGTAGAATGTACTGTCGGATCTTCTGGGAGGAAATGTTCTGTCCACTTCTCACTTATTTCCAGCCATGTTTCTCCCCTCCCAGTGCGCCCATACTGTACCGTTTTCTTGATACCATTTTAAAAAAAAAAAAAATTTGATTTATAATAATTAAGCAGAAGAAGCTGAGCCAACAGTCTGCATAAAAGGAAAGACTGACAAAACCAACAAGGCTGCAACAATTAAAAAAATTAGTATAGGCCCTATACTAAAGAAAGTATAGTATGCACGTTAGGGTTACCTCACTAATAGAGACTGGAGTCAAGGCAGCCTTTTTTTTTTAAGTCCCTGACCATTATAGAGTGCTGCAGGAATGAGTTTTTATTTTTGGCTTTGCCCACACTTTCCTCAGAATGATCCGTTTCCTCACTGCCTCTGCCTGTGTTTTTTTTTTCTTTTTAGCCTCGTCCTTCCTGAAGCAGGCGTTTGAAGGAGAGTATCCAAAGCTGTTGCGACTGTACAATGAGCTATGGCGCCGCCTGCAGCAGTACAGCGCCAGCCTGCAGGGGGCGCTAACAAGCGGTGGAGGGATGGACGCATCTCTGGACATCACGCCCACTGAGGCAGACAGTCAGGACCTCTTCACACACGGCAAACAGGACTACAAGTGAGCAGACACAAAGACAGCAACACAATCAGCCACTTCAGGGTGTGATCACACCTACGGGCTATTTTGTTTGGTGTGAACCAGGGTGGAAAAAATTTTTTTGGAGCTACTGAGTGAACAAGCTTGTGATCTTGTAAAGGTTCTCTCAATCACAAGCTTTTGGTCACCTGCGTTCTGGCCAAGCTGGAAATATTGGAACTATTGAATGGGAACACATCCAGCGTCAGTCCCTATAACTGAGCATCGTGGACTGGGTTGTCCGATCTTCATTGTAACTTAACGTCTAGAGGTGTCTGTACAGACCCAACCCTAAGTAGGAGTTGCTCACATTCTGTGTCTGAAATCACTCCCTATGTAGTGTAATATAACATATGCCTTTTCATTTGAGCGTGTGAATTCTGAGTGTAAATATTATGGTCTGTATCAGTATCCTTAAAAATTCCCACAATTGAAGAAAAAAAATAGTGTCCATGGCATGTAAATTGCTTTCTTCTAACAATACCGCAATGCAGTCTCAAAAGGGTCACTTCTGTTACATGGGAAGTAGGCAGTGGTTGAATATTTTTTTTAACACAGCCTGGGACTACACAGTGGTGGAAAATAGTTGAAGAAATTTAGATTTTTGGTTGTCAATAGTTGCAGTTTAACACAGTTTCAATCATTTTCTTAATTTCCAGTGAGTTGAAATTGTCAGTATGGTAGATCAGTGCTATCATGATAGCAGATTAGTTTTAGTTTTATTCATACTATTTTAACTAAAATGCCACAGGTCTTGGTTTCCTTGATCGTCAAATGTGAAATGTATCCATTGGCCCGTTCTTCTTTCTCCCAAGCGTTGACATTTCTGTACAGTTTTTGCAGCAAGTGCATTGGTAGATCAGTTCTATCCAGCTGTGTGCATCTAACCTCCCTACCACACAAAGAGATTAGCTGTGATTGGTTATCGTCCTCAATAACATTTTCTTCTCATTTATATTTATTTTTAGGGACCGAGCCAGTGACCGCTGGAGGTCCCTATTGAAATTGCTTCGTTTCTTACCTATTATTATTATTTCCAACTTTGATTGCTTTTTTGCCCCCCTGAACATATACGAAAACTCAATTTTATTTGGCAAAGTGGTCAGTCGTGGCGAAAAATTTTGTCCATATTTAATTCTGTGAGTCGCTGTCAGGTCAGCACACTAGGTGGCGCTACCTATCATTTAGGCAAAAACGTGCGTTTTACGCCTAATAACTTCTTCCCACAGTTTGTCGGCAATGTTCAAACAAAACCTTATATCCCACCGCGTTTGGTGAATGGGAGCCTGAATCTTCCGCCATATAAGCCCCGCCCACCTTGCGCCTTAGAATCTTTTCTCGTTAGAGCGCAAAACTGTCCAAAAACTTTTGTCGTGTTCCTCCTATTAAGCTGTTGTCCGATTCGACAAAGTTTTTCCACGTACATCTGGGGACGTCCCTGGCAAAAAGTATATTCGAAGAATTTTCTATTTCAATAAAATTACCACGCTATTAAAATTAGCACTTCCTGTAGATTTTACGTCAAAAAGGAGTGGTACCATTTCTCCACATTGGTATGGTCCGATTGTACACCAAGTTTTGTCCATAGTTCCCTTGTCTTTCCTTAGGCGTTGTGCACAATTTTCAGGTCATCGCCACAAGGTCGGGTGCTCCTCTTAAAATGAAGTAAAGTTTATATCTCTCGC